ATTAGGGTCAAACAATTAGAAAATATAGATTCAATAGTTGAACCCTCAAACGACAAAAATTAAAATCTGATCTGTATGGAACTGTCTTGTAAAGGCCCCCAATTATCTACAAAGGAATAAATATGCGAAAACCCTTGTCGACCGCACGAACGATTTAGCTGCTGCGGACGTATGTTTCGTTGCCTGGCAACCTATCTTTGTCATGTCTGTTGCCATGTCTATAAGTGCCAAATAGCATTTTGCGTATAAGTTCATATAAAATCCAGCAAACGGCTGACTTATAAAGTATTGGGAGTCGACCATCTGAAGAATGTATACGCACGTGACGATTATTTCAAAATTGTTTCTCTCAGTGGATGGGGGGGGGATTCCCTGTTGTCCATCAGAGCTAACCGTTCTTAGCACTGATCTTACTCTCTGATTACCATAGCACAGATGTTTAATTATACCATACCTTTCTTATCAGAATCAGTTTCTGCTTAGACAAATTACTCCTGCATGAAGTCATGGTTAAAACAAAGAAATTTCGTAATCTTTGTAAATGATTTAAAGCAAAGCCTTATTATAAGTAGCTTCCGTCGTGGATGTAATCTGATAGTGGGATGTAAACTTAATAGTCTGCTAATCAGTCTTCTTCTATCTATTTGTTTATCGTATTGAATCGCTTGATAACCTACTGTAAGGTCCTTATTATATAATATATTAGGGCGAGTCAGGGGTGGACAGGCAATTTAATGGATCTTGTTGTAGGGGGTTAATTTATAAGTGCATCGATTAGAAAATAAATTGACATCTCACGCTATTTAATTGTGAGGAAGTAGATACGTATATTAGTATTTACACGCTCAATTGATTCCCTACATAACCCATACTTGTAAATATACTATATAATCCCTGGTTTGTTTCTCTATGAATGATTTGTAAGATTACATCATCTGATAAATGACAACGAATCCATTTTGAATTCTGACGAAAGATTTTTATTTAAAATTTATATAAACTAGATTTATAAAAGATTAACCTAATTTATATGACCTATATCTAATTCCCAGTGACATGAATTCGGGTAGATACTTATCTGGTGTTGAGCGTATCAAGTACATATTTTTAGAAAAAAAAACACTAGATAGGAAAATAATCGATCGTAACACGTTGGCACTCCATAACCATTTGGGTTGCATTTTCCATTTCTTACCACAAGAACACTTATCTTAGCTTCATTAGAAAGGCTTGTAAATTACAAGTAGGCCAAAATGTAACGATTCTATCATCGGGTCTGGCAATGGAACATGTGTCAACCATTTTGTATCTGATGTCAAGTAGTTTTACCGAGGAAACAATGTCTACATCTGTCAGTTTACACCCTGCCTACCATTAATATTAACAAATAGACCGCCATTGTTAATTTTTGGTGTCATTTAGATGAATTGGTTTTCGTCAATATTGGCATGATTCTAAACTTGACAGCAAATGCAACAAACGGGCTTTCGATAGTTCTCACTGAGAGGACAGGAAAACTGCTTCACAACACGTCATTCCACAAGGTTGGATCATGGGTCCTCTCCTATTCCTTATTTTTATAAATGATCTCCCAGTCAATATTGAAACAAGTCAGATAGATTTGTTTGCTGATGACAGTACCCTGCATTGTTCACACAAAGATATTTTATCCATCGCCAATAATCTCCAAAATGATCTCTTTTTGGTTGCTAAATGGTGTGAAAACAATGGGATGGTAATCAATCCTTCGAAAACAAAATCAATGCTGATTTCATCAAAACACAAAAGAAATCAGAAAAACCTAACTTTATCACTCCATGGTGGGAAAATTGAGACGGTTACTACTGCAAAATTACTTGGAATTTAAATTGACCAAGACCTTAATTGGGAAGCACAGATAGCAGATATGTCTAAAAAACTTGCATCAAAAATATTTTTCCTAAATAAGATAAAAGATCATTTACCTTACGAGACAAGAATTTTGTTTTATAACAGTTACATACTACCAATATTTGATTATTGTTCTATTATTTGGGGAAATGCTACCAAAAGTAGATTAGACATTCTTTTAAAATTACAAAAGAGGGCAGCAAGAACTATTCTTGATGCACCGATTGAAACTCCGTCCACCTCTTTATTTACTAAAATTGGTTGGCTTAGCCTTACACAGAGGATTCTTTACAATGAAATTGTCTTATCATTCAAAATTATTACATTTAATACTTCACTTTATCTAAATTCCTATTTTATTTAAAAATCTCTTGTTTCCAAAACGGATATCTTGCTCCGTTCACAGACCAGTAAATCTCTTTTTCTTCAAAAATGCAAAACGGAATCCTTGAATTGTACTTTTCATTATTCTGCATGTCTTTTATGGAACAATCTGCTTTTTGATATAAAGATGTGTAAAAATGTTGAAAATTTTAAGATTAAACTGAAAACTCATTTATTTTCCACACTGAAGGAACCATAATATTCAACTGATGACATACTTATTAATTTTAACTTGCAACTGCATTCTATCTTATTTTGTATGTAATTATAGTGTTCTTCCTATATTCTACTTGTATAATGTATATGTTTTGTAGTTTGGGAGTGACTTCCCAAACTTCCCACTTTAAAATGCTATTGCATTTCAAATGATTTTGAATTTATCCTGATATTACATGTATATATGTCTTTGTAGCTTAGGAGGGACCTATGGAAGATTAGTTTTTTGGGGTTTTTTTGTTTTGCAAACTAAATACGTTGCCTCATTAAATAAAGTTTTTATTATTATTATTATTATTATTATTATAGAACGAGTAAACCTTACATATATACCGCATGTACATGCACCATGTGAAATGGTTTATTCGTATGCAGTTTTGCCAAAGTTTCGATTGAGATATTGCATAGAATGTTGAAATTAAAACAAACAAGAAGATCATTTCTTCAAAGCATTCGGCCTTGTAAAATTACATACTATTTCCAATGAAACAAGAAATCCAATAAGGAATTATAGTCACCATAGCCAGTGACGCATGTATCAAAGAATTCTAAATTGATAATTGATGCTGACTTTTTATGGTTAAAATAGGTTCAGACAACGTGGGATGAAACTGCATGTAAGTCTCATAAAAACTTTACCAGGCCATGTTGGAAATTAAATGAACTGGGGTTTAACGTCTTACGTATCTACACCAACAGGACTAACTAACATTGATGAACCGTATTATAATATACCCTTGTAAGTAATGCAAACCAAACAAAAATATTTACCAAATATAAAAACATAGATGTGTATGTGACGATCGACAATTTGGTGATTTATCATCTAAGGAGTAAGCCAATCTAAATACACAACATTTCTTGATTTAAAAAAAAAAATAATTTAAAGGGTACTTGGCATGCCTGTGAATGGGGACACATGGTATAGTTGATCTGTTAACTATTTTGTTCCATCTTTACCGACAATCACGATGGAGCATCACCCTGTATGTCCTTCTTATGGCTTAAAGTCTTTCTTTGAGCCGATCTGTCCAAGAATTAATGATCTTTGTTGATCAAGTAGCCCAGTTTAAGAATAACAGCAACCAAAAAACTGTCTTTAACAATTCCAATAAAAAAAATCCCTGATTAATGTTCCCAAGTCGACTTACAATTTCTTTGTTAATTATTCTAGTCAAACATCTGCGCGTGCATGCATGACGTGTTCTTCAAGACATGCACGTGACGGAAAGTGACAATAATCAGTTGCCATTGTACTATATGCAGTACCTCATTAGGGTCCTATTTCAGACAAAAACAAAACAAGTCTTACTCATGTTTTCTTAAACTTTAGTTTTGCCTGTGTTTCAAGATCATTCCATACAGTTTCATTAAATTAACTAGGCTTAAAATTGTTCGAAAGTGGATATCTACAAGAGTGACATCTTCATCAAATAATCTTAATAATGGCTATTTATTGTCATCTAAATAATTTAATAACATAATATTTTTATGTTTTAGATTAACTGAATTTAAAACCCGTAGATTGAACGTAGTAAACTACAAGGTTTTTATCTTGATCCGATATTAATTTTGGACCACGAAGATACAACATAAAACAAAATCTGTATTTAAATCGTTATGTGGTTCTCAGTCTTACTATTGTTCCAAATTTAAAATCCATCCGCTTCTTGGCGAAATATTTTAACTAGATATTAGATTTGTTCATGCATATTTATTTTTCAATGATTTAATGAGACATCCAACCAACCTCTTTAACCATGTATAATTTAAACGCTTTAAAATCCCCCGTTTCACTGGATTTTAATGATGTGTAAAATAACCGTGAACCCTGACTTGGACGTGATAACCAAATTATATATGACCGTCGTTTAATCGGTCATCCACTGTGTAAGCCACGTGCCAGATGCACGAGTCAGTACAGTAGCTAGAATTGTAAGCAATATGGGAACAGATGCGGGAACAATAAAAGATCTGGTATTTAGCCGACCCATTGTTTGCATATTATAGAACCGTGACATAGATCAAATAATAGTTTCAAGTTCACGTTTAGAATAATCCACGAATAGCTCAGATTTCAGTACAAGTTGTATTTAGTAGTTTTATTATTCAATTTCATTTTCAATTAGATGGCTACAGCTAGCATGTATTATCTCACAGTTTTAAAATCCAGCTAAGACTGTATCTTTTGAATAAGTCCAACAGATATATTATCTTGAGTAGGACGTTAAACCCCATTTCATTTCATTTCATTTCAATTATATTATTTTGACGAGTTTGATATAAAAATGGAGATATCAACTGAAAATTATATTAAAATTTTAGGTGTAATTTTCGAGTAAATTGACTTTCACATATGTATATAAAAGTTGTAGCCTCTTGAAGATCAGAAACTGTTACATAAAATAGCTATTGGTTATACTATGTTTATATTATTGTATCGTCTGTTCCTGATATATTATATGCTGATATAAAATGATCTAAAGATCCTTATTTTATTTCAGGAGAATGTCCATCATTATTAAGTTCAACAGATTTACATACATTAAGTTCACCGAACCGATCTATTGGTAGTATAGTTCATGTTTTATGTCAAAATGTAACGGTAGCCGTAATGAAATGTTTGACGGGACAGCAGTGGAACGGAACTAAACCGACATGTTTAACAGGTAATTGCCGTGTTATTTATGGCCAATTAAACAACGTGAAAGACAGGTGAGATGACACGCCCGGTTCTCTTTAACAGGTGTTAATCTCTGATTACTACATCACACCTTGTACACGATACTCTTTATAAGTGTTCTTTATTAACTACAGGTATTCATACCTTAATGAGGGGCGGGGGGAGGGGGCGAATGGTTAGCACGTGCGCGGCGTATCATAAGGGTTGTCATTGAGTCAACTGGCGTGGTTTCGATTCCCCGGTTGTACGTGACAAGGAGTTGGGTCGCCTGTCCAACCTCGTAGGTTTACTTCGGGTACTCCGGTTTCCTCCCACTGCTAAAGACTTCTACGCGCAAGCGAATTATTGAAATAAAATTGAACCATATATTAGTCCCGAAACGACCTAGTTTGTGTCGAGTGGACGTTAAACCCCATTTCTCTCTCTCTTTCTCTTTCTCTCTCTCTCACTCTCGCCTGACCAACCTCGTAGGTTTTCTCCGGGTTCTCAAGTTTCCTCCCGCTGCTGCTAAAGACTTCTACGCACAAGCGATTTATTGAAATAAAATTGAACCATATGGTAGTCCCGAAACGACGTAGTTTGTGTCGAGTGGACGTTAAGCCCATTTGGTTGTTTAAAAAATCTCTCTAGCAGAGTGGTTCATAAATATAGTGAAAACATGATAAATCAATTCTCGGCTGTTATAAAAAATGTTCGATATCAAAACAGTAAACCCAATAGATGTTAGAGATGCTCAAGGAACCGTGTCAAATCGGGAACAGTGTAAAACCGTGAAAGGGAAATTTCATTTATTTACACTTTATTAGACATTGTCTCACATTTTTCGCTAATCTTCACTACCAGAAAAATACACTTACAATTTTTTATAAAAAATGCTGTAAATATAAAAGAACATATACACCTACATACACGTCACACTTCAAGATGATCATATAAAAAAAAATGGTATTGCCATTTAGAAAGTTATTCTTTCAAGTGCAACCGTTTCGTCTTAGTGCTGTGTAAATATAGAGATTTTTGGGGGTGAAGTACTTTTTGGTTCTCTTCATAAAAGTCATTATTTTGCTTGCTCTTCAACATGTTTTGTTTTCTTTCACAACGACTTGTATATTGTAGACAAGACACCAGTGACGAAGACGACACTAGATAGAAGCAATGAGGAAAAAATAAAAGTAGAGACTATTATTATTATAGTATGGGTGTTAGGTGGTATATTATTATTTGCCATGTTAATCTTACTAACAGTTATTGTTACTGCTCGACGTAAAGTTGGATTAAGACGACAAGCAGAAAGAAGGTGGGTTTTGTATTTCACTCTATAAATTGTTTTAATGCGGCTTACAGTGTGACGTAGAATTGGGCTGATTTAGTTGAATGTTGAATTTTAAGACGCAAAACAATTGGAAAGTTATGTTGCTTTGTAGCCTGTTCATATATAAAAAAAAATATTCGTTATTTTTGTTTATTTTAAGAACATCCGTATTTACAGTGGCTGCTGAAAGCCGGAGAGGAGGGGGGGATAATCCCGCCTTTACAAGAGAAAACGAGGGTGTAAACTGGAGTTTACATAGAAATTCAGAACGATTGCCGCCATCTTATCGAGAAGCTATGCTTGACCGACCACCAAGGTTAGAAATCCCCCGAGGGCAACAAGTTACCAATCAAAGAACAGCGACGACATCTGGTGCATCGCAAGATGATAATAGCAGACGATATGCACAAGAGTATCCATCTTGTTTTTGGGAGGAAGAACCTCCCCCGCCTTATAGTTTATTTGCTGATGATAGACATATACATGCCAGTGACCGTGCAGTGAATATCGATAGAACAAGAAGCACCCGACTAACAACAAATTCCACAAATAGAGCTACTGTTACCGGCGACACTTCTACTGGTCTACTAACATCAACAGCACAAATACATCAACAACCTTCATCGGTTTCACAACCACAACTAGCCATACCACAACCACAGCAACAACACCCAGCTAGAACACCGACTTCGGCACAAGCGGATTCTTCCAGAAGGCATATTACTGTATATCGTAGAGAGCGACCATCGGCTAGTCCACAGATTGTTAGAAGTAACAGCAGTAACACCAACAGTAGTAATAACAACACGTCTAGAGTAAATACCCAACAGTACAGATGTGGGAGAATAGAGGCCAGTGCACCATTAGCACGGTAAGAGTTTGTCGATTTCTTATTCCCCCCTGTTTAACAAGTTTGGTTACATACAATATGTTGTAAAATGAATTAGTTGAGCTTGAAAACAACCACATTGACGCTGTCTTTTTAAAACATAGTAGAATTTTATTTACGAATTCTTATTTATGATTTTATAAAACATTTATATAGTAAAAGGACATGCGTGATGACTATGTGAATCTAATTATGTTTTTTTTTTGTTGTTGTTGTTTAGATTGGAGATTGAATATTTTTGAAGATGTGCACTGATTAGAGATATACCAATGTCAAGTCTTCCGGATAAAATACCATTGTATATTTGATGACGGCTGTTCACAAAGTTGAGTGGTTTGTCTAACGTAGCCTAAACGTCTGTCCTCCGGTCTGTTTATATTGTAAAGATCACCCAGATAAATTTTCTTAACTGATGAAAATGTCCGAAAGGATGAGGATTTTTCCAGCAGATTATTATTGTTACTTATATACATGTATACATATTGTATGATATTGTCTATACCAAATGTGCTTTATTAATGATATTATGGTGCTATACCATATCAGTATTACCTTAAAATCCGTTGTATGTTAAACTTGCTTATTGTCTCTTGTAATATTTTACTTATATATGAGCTAATCGTTTCACGTATTTATTGTTTTGTTTATTTCTTACATACCACTTTGTCTTATTGTGTGATATATACCTTGCCTTATTATATACGTCCACAAAATATATCTCATTCGTTCATCAATCATTTGCTTCAGTTGTATGTATACTGTCGTTCATAAATAACGCAACTATTCAGCCGTCCAATAGAAGCTATACCAATACTTTCACATAGCCCGTAATAATAAATACCCTGTATGTTGAAAAGATGTGGAAAATGAAAATGGAACAGACTAATAGTTATCAGATATATTTAGTTGTATTTTGGTGGCATTTGTAACACCGTTTCAGTTCTATTATCCGAATTAACAGGGTTTTAAATAACTAGGAATTTATTCTTGGTATAGTTTCTTTTATGATCTAGCATAGCTCTGTGGCCATCATGTACGTGTTTATTGACTTTCCAAAGTGCAGTAATTTTGACCAGAGTAATCTTGCTAAGGGGGGTTGGATGGCCGAATGGTTAGCACGCGCGCGCTGTATCATACGGTCTGTCATTGAGTTAACTGGCGGGGTTTCGATTGCCCGGTTGTATGTGACAAGGAGTAGGGTCGCCTGTCCATCCGCGTGGGTTTTCTCCGGGTCCTCCGGTTTCCTCCCACTGCTAAAGACCCCTACGCGCAAGCGAATTATTGAAATAAAAAAATTAAACCATATGTTAGTCCCGAAATGACCTAGTTTGTGCCGAGTGGACGTTAAACCCTATTCTCTCTCTCTCTCTCTCTCTCTCTCTCTCTCTCTCTCTCAGCCATGACATACGCTCATTTTCATGGACAGCCTTACGCACTCAGTCACACTAACCCTTATTTGTTGGTGGTTTTTTAATCTTTTAGACTATTCCACTCGAAACCTATAGAGCAACATTTATTAATTATCCAGTTTTTCTCATCCTTTCCCTATAAGAGGCAGCTTTTTAAATTGCACTATTATCTTTTTATAGTTACTAAATATTATATCATCTAGTCAATTACATGATATTATACAAATACTCAACAATTTAATATCAATAATATATATTAATAACTTGAATGAGTTATCCTATTCTAAGATTGCACAAGGTGATAATAAGTTGATCCTACATATCAGAGGTCCCACATACTGAGTCACCGATGCTATCGAATTATGATTGAACAACAATATATACAAATCTAGAATGAGCAATTTTACCTCCCTGGGAAGGCGAAATTTATCCCTTGGAGGTAAATTTATCCCAGGCTGGGATAGACTAATATCTTTTCGAGATGTATTTTTTTTTCATTTAACAGCGGAGGCCACGCCAATTTAAATATTAGCTCTGCGGGAACACCTAATACAATGTTGCTATATTTCTTGTCAAAAAGAAAAGAAAAACAACATTAAACACGAAAACACGTGGTGTAGTAGCTACACAAATATTTGAATAATTTTTAAAGTGTATATATTTAAATAAAGATTGTTTTATGTGTATTAGATAAGTAGTATATTAATTGTATCATTTAAATCAAAAATCATTGTATTCAGAACAAGATCATCGCTAGTCTTCCAAAGAAATTGTATATTTGTCAGTATTATCACAGTTTTAGTCCAAATGTTTTTTATTCTTTATATTATTTTATTCTAGTCACATTGTGTCAAATTTTGTTCAATATATTTTGTGCTGATTTTAAAATTTATGTTTTGTTTGTATTTTTTTTTTTTTTTTTTTTCATAATGATTATTATGTGTAAGGTCTTATTTTACCATAAACAAATATAACAACAAAATCAAAATGTCTTCCAATATATAACCAGATTTATTGTATATAGATATCTCATAATCAAAAAACATATACTTTCAAGGCACGATAGGTGGAGATTTTCGAATCGAAAATGTCTTTGATAATACCACCCAAGAAATTAAAATATGTTCACTTTGTATACAATGAATAGCAGATGTGTGAAGTATAAATATATACAATTTGTAAAAGAATATAGCTAAAGATGTGTAAAATATGACACTCTTCCACGTGTCTATTTGGAATTTACGTATTTATTTATGAAATAGATATTTTGGTCTAGGTATATTTTAGGACCGCCAAAAAAGATTTGGAAAATTGAATTGTTGATTTTATACCGAATTTTCCTTTTTTGAAACATGTGAGTTAGACTACTGTCTATCATTATTATTTTCTGTTATGAATTTGTACCAGTTGGTTATAGTATTCCATAGTATATCAATATTATTATACATGTATTATTAATTGATATCAGTCTATATATTAATCTATAACCTATCGTTATATGTGTATTATATCAATCCATATACTGCCGGTGTCATTGTATGCGTATTATATTAATTCATATACTGTCGGTATCATTATATGTGTATCATATCAATTCATATACAGCTGGTATCATAATACCCCTATTATATCAAATTGACCCTTTCAATATAATTATAGATCATGAGTCAGTATCGTTATAATCGTATCATATCAAATTGACCTTTTCAGTATCATTATATATCATAAATTTATATTATGTTATTAAATCTGCCAATGTAGATTATTATTATAATCCTATGTTAATAATAAATTCCGATCAGACTATATTAATCCATAGTATATATAAATATCACATGTCATTAACTCCTATCGATGTATTACATTAATCCACAGTCAATCAAAATAATTATATCATTGATACTAGCCTTTATATTAATATATTGATACCAATTTTTATATTAATCTATATATCTGTATTTAAAGACTTTCTACAACGGTAATAAAATTGTTATTAATAGTTGTATACGGTTTGTCCTCATTATGATTTTAATATCAACAAGTTCTATGTTCAAATGCCAATATAATAAAACTAGAACATAGCACACTATTTAAAAATTAAAAACTATATATTCATTTATGTTTGGTGACAATGCTTTGAGGAAACAATGTATGGACCTGTTTAGTTACCCCGGGTTGTCCTATGTAAATCGTATTTTATGCCTTTACTGTGTTGAGGTTGCAACTTCCAGCCATCAGTTTCCCCGTCAGACAGGACTCAGGAGGGAAATGATGGCTGATGACACGTGTGCAAAAGGCAATAAAACAGATGAATTTCAGTTAATTGATTGTTTGACCAGGAATTTTATGTAATCCACCATCAACTCACTGCGACGAAATGACGACGTTTACATACTATATTTCAACTGAGTTAGTGGGAACGTAATTTGTTGTTGGTATGGTACACCGGACATCCATAATAACGAGGAATAAAGGCATACATACATTGAGGCCTGTAGCCAAAATTTCTAGCGTGAAGTTCCGCTACATGGTCCTCCCTAATAAACAAACTATACATTTTTGGAAGGCTGATAACACCAGGAACACAAATCCAGAGAGTTCTAAGCAGAAAGTTTGCACTAACTCGATTTACGGTCAGATGAAAATTGTGATAATTGTCAAGTAAATGCTATATTTATACTAACAATTGTGAAGTTGACATAAAATTAAATATTGGCGAAAACACCAGATGCCTTCATCCTATGCAAAGAATATGATATTTGTTAAATTTTGATTTAACGCAAAATGCAGAAACCATACAGGACAGAGGAATATACAGAATTTCGGAATTCCATTTTTATATATTATATAAATACTCAACAATTTAATATCAATAATATATTTTAATAACTTGAATGAGTTATCGTATTCTAAGATTGCACAAGGTGATAATAAGTTGATCCTACATATCAGAGGTCCTACATACTGAGTCACCGATGCTATCGAATTATGATTGAACAACAATATATACAAATCTAGAATGAGCAATTTTACCTCCCTGGGAAGGCGAAATTTATCCCTTGGAGGTAAATTTATCCCAGGCTGGGATAGACTAATATCTTTTCGAGATGTATTTTTTTTTTCATTTAACAGCGGAGGCCACGCCAATTTAAATATTAGCTCTGCGGGAACACCTAATACAATGTTGCTATATTTCTTGTCAAAAAGAAAAGAAAAACAACAATAAACACGAAAAAATGTGGTGTAGTAGCTACACAAATATTTGAATAATCTTTAAAGTGTATATATTTAAATAAAGATGGTTTTATGTGTATTAGATAAGTAGTATATTAATTGTATCATTTAAATCAAAAATCATTGTATTCAGAACAAGATCATCGCTAGTCTTCCAAAGAAATTGTATATTTGTCAGTATTATCACAGTTTTAGTCCAAATGTTTTTTATTCTTTATATTATTTTATTCTAGTCCCATTGTGTCAAATTTTATAACACCAGGAACACAAATCCAGAGAGTTCTAAGCAGAAAGTTTGCACTAACTCGATTTACGGTCAGATGAAAATTGTGATAATTGTCAAGTAAATGCTATATTTATACTAACAATTGTGAAGTTGACATAAAATTAAATATGCCTTCATCCTATGCAAAGAATATGATATTTGTTAAATGGAAAATATCAATAATTATTGATAACAGTATTTTGTTTAAAGAATTTATTCCATAAACTGAATAAGATTTAACTACATACTTAAGCGATATGTAAGTTCAACTTTTTTCAGATAGGATTTGAGGCTAATGGTCTAATAAATATTTAACCTGAAACATAGCATCTACAGATATTTAGTTTTCTCACTAAAATAGATATAGCCAAAACTAAATGATACTATAAAGGGAGTGACAATATTGTAATGAAGAGAAAAAAAAATTAAATGGAGTTTAATGTCTTACTGTTCTGCACCAACCCGTATAATGAAGATGAGCATTGTACGTGTACAGCTAGTATGTAAACGTCATCATCAGTGTGCAAGGGAGCCGCGGTGACTCAGTAAAGGGCTGGCTCACTTATCGGACGGCCCAGGGTTTGATCCTAGTTTGGCGTGGTTTCCCCTTGTCCGTGACTTACTAATCAGGAGGTCCGGGGTTTGATCCCGGTGTTGACCTAGACAGTTCCCCAAACTTCCCAACGTTGTTTCACCTTGTCAGTGGTGCAAGAAGTGGGGATGGGCAGCATCTAGATATTCGGATGGAATATAAAACTGAGGTTCCATGCACATGTTGGCGTGCACGTAAACGAACTTTAAATTCGAAATAAAGTGTAGACCGTAACGTTGCTGTTTGGACCAAATTCCCCATATAGCATAATGTATGGCGGGCGTATGTACATCTTCATTATCCTGGTTGATACTGAACAATTATGCATTAAACTCCATTTGATTTTTTTCTCTTCATTACAATTGTCACTCCTATACAGTATTATTTAGGTGTTGTCATATATATATTTAGCGAGAAAATTACATATAGATGCTTTGTTTCAATTCAAATATTTAGCCCCAAATCTTATCTGAACTAAAAGTTTACAGATATATTAGTAGAAATACTGTTTTAGGAGAACTTATATGCCCCCCCCCCCACACCTGCCAGTTTCCTTTAACCGTCCATTTTTCGGGCAATGTATTTCAGTTTTTCGGGCACAAGCATCAGAGAATGGAGAATGCGACCATATCTCATGGAATTATAATTGTATAATTGTGTAAATAATTAAAAATAAACAACCATCACAGTTTTGTGGAAAATCGATTTTAGTTAATGATTGATTCATTCAGAAAATTTGGGTGACAAAGAAATTTTTTGGGCAAAAAGGCTCAGCCCCCCCCCCACCCCCAAAACCCCACCCCCAACTCCCAACTGAGATTAGCCGTCTAAATCCATGTAGCCCCTTACTTTTTGTTCAATCCGATTCAGTTTCTTGAATCAAATACTGTTTAAACTATTGTTTTCCTCCCATCCGAACGACTGGGCATTGTCATCCCGTACCACTGACAGGGGGGGGGGGGGCACCGGAGTTGTCTTGTACATGTATATATCTAATCTGTGTAAGTGTAGTAAATGTGAAAATGAGACAAAAAGACTGTTAAAAGAAACCGAATTTGATGTTTATACATATAGTGACAGTGATGGTGAAAAGACCAACTTTGATGAGATTTAAAGTGCAGAGTGACTGCGTAGTTTTGATTTTCAATAATTGTTTTACTTCAATAATAATTAGTTTTTTTTTCTTATATCTATATTTGTTAGAAAATTACACCATTATAGATGCGGTTTCAGTTTAAATGTTTGTAATTCGGCCTTAAATATCGGAACTAGAGGTTTACAGCTACCTGTAGTAAAACTAATGTAGGGTCTAATTGAAAGGGTATGTGGGTGTGGGTTTCAATGCGATTTACAAAACTACGGACAGAGTCCGGTCTCCATTACTTCATAGACATATTGCTCAACCAATGTCAACATATCTCCTTGCTCATCGGACTAGGCGCTCCGCCCATAATTTCTGGGTAAACAACCGCTCACCAACCCTTGCAGTCACCTGAGACCCCATTAACGATATAAATATCGGAATCCGCCGGAACTTGATCCGGAACTGTATTGCTGGGAGAAGGACACTAAATTGAAAACATCACAACCGGTAAACTTGGTCCGGAGTCTGCCATGTGGCTCATCAGATGTGAATGCAATAGTGACAGCTCATGTAGTACGTGTGCTTGTAGCTGCACTAGGGAGGGCTTAGAATATACAATATTTTGCGCTTGTGTTGTCACAGGATGCAGC